TCCAGAGACAGACGACACTCATCCAGACCATCAAAGATGAACAACCCTTTATATTCACCAATGGATATTTTCATCTCTTTGGTTTCAGGGAAAAAGAGATGAAGAAGATCTGAAAGACTGAGTGTTTTGTCCTTCATCAGGTTGATTTCTCTGAAAGGAAGTGGAAATATGAGCTGGATGTCCTGATTCTCTTTCCCTTCAGCCCAGTCCACAATGAACTTCTGCACAGAGACTGTTTTTCCAATGCCAGCGACTCCCTTTGTCAGCACAGTTCTGATGACTTTATCTTGTCCAGGTAAAGGTCTAAAGATGTCATTGCATTTGATGGCTGTGTCCTCTGTGGCTGCTCTCCTGGATTGTGTCTCAATCTGTCTCACCTCATGCTCATTATTGATCTCTCCACTCTCACTCTCTGTGATGTAGAGCTCTGTGTAGATCTCATTCAGGAGAGTTGGGTTTCCCTGCGTCGCTGTTCCTTCATACAGACACTCAAACTTACTCAGCAGATCTGATTTGAATCTGCTTTGGACCAGTTGAGAGTCACGACTGAAAGTATAAAATACTAGATTACAACATACATTAGATGAGTAAAAGTGACAGATATCTTTATATCTAGACAGAATTGTTGTACCTCATATTAGATGGCATGTGTTTTCCTGTAAATGTTCCTGGAGTGTCCACAGACTGCTCACTAATAATGGACAGAACAGAGACAATACCACTGAGTAGAGATAACAGAAACAATAATTCATATAGGGTCAATTCTGTGTTAACTCAGCCAGCAAAAAATATTACATTTGTTTTTTGGTGAAAGAATTATAGAAATAAAGAACAAAGCCAAAATATTAATATAACATAGACAACAGAATAAAGAATAGAATAAAGGGTAAAGAATCGCAGTTAATTTGATGTTTAGTTGACATAAAAACTGAAGGACTGTTCTCGAATGTGCAGCTGTGTCTCAGCTGTCCTTACAACAGAGGTTAGTTAACCAAACCCACCACTTTTCAAGGGTCCTGTCTATGTCCATGTCCATCAAACAAAATGAAGCTTGCTGATGTACCTGATGATTTTGGAGTAAAATGCTTAAAATGCAGTTCATCATCTTACAAGCTTTAGAATTAGTTTATGTTGAAAACATAAGTATAATAGTAATATAATAGAGATGAGAATATAGTGAAATTAAAAGGGAAAAGTGTCAAGAACTCGACATTAACACACAGGAAAATGTTTAATAGACACTTTGCAGGTGCAAACAGGGGTGCATAATGTATTTGTTGTGCGTTTTTCTTACAATAAATTTTAGCTGCATTTAACATTGTTTATTACTTATCAGAGCTATTAAAACCGAAGAATCACATCAGAGTCTATTTGACATGCTTCTGTTTTTCAAACAAAAACCTAATAATCCCGAATAATATGAATGCAACAAATAAACAAGTATTGTGAATTACTGGAACAAAACTTATTTTAACCATATCTCAAAATAATTGCCAAAAAAGGAGGTTTGTATATTTTTGTTAAGTTAACTTTAACGTTCGATGGACAAAGTGATGCAGGGCAACAGGCTGTGGCTGTTTTCTTCTGCTTGCCCGTATCGACAGTCAGGATGTGTTCACTTTGTCTGTACCGAGTCAAGGTGGCTCTCAGCTTTTTACATCTCTGAGTGCAGATAGTTTGCCATAGTGTACTGTTTTATTAGGGACAGATAGCAGTGACTTCTGTTTTGTTGATGTGTTTTCCTATTAAAGTGATGTAGCTGTTTCATTTGTGCTGTAATTTGATGGTAAAA